GTGTCCCCTGTATGTAGGTATGACGTCTGCGGTGATCACATTTCGGCATATCCGGCCAGTTTATTACTTAACTTGTATTCAGCACCATAGTACCACGGATTTATATACTGTGGATGCAAAACCATAATTAGCTTCGCCAAACTATTGGGCGCCATGTGATGTGTCACATTTTGCACGCAGCTCATAGTCCTCCTGTGGTAGTAACAACAGCAGTGACCACAGAGAGAAAATGCCGCTAAATGAAAAGGAGAAACATCTCTGAGCGTTGGAATTATGATAGCAGCCTTTGGTTCTTTAAAGTACTTTCCACATGCCCCACCTCCGCCACACTTCAAATGGTATCTGCGTCTGTTTTATGAGACGAATTAACAATTAAAATAGTGAAAAATAAAATTCTGAAAACGAAATAGTGGCTTGTCGGCACCTCGTACTTTGGCCTGAAAGCCATAGGGTATTCCTCTGTCATACTGCAAAAGCCAGATCTGAATCGTAGGTTTTCTGTCGACGAGACCCGTTCTAACGGGTATTTAATTTGCCGCTGCACTTTCAAACGTAAACGTACTGTGGGTGAACATCAATCTGTCTTCTAATCTTCGTTACGTAAATTAACCGTTCTGATGTCATCTCAAATAACAAGTTAGAAAGAACAAATTAAATCCAGTGAAGTTGTTTCGTCTCATCGATATGTTCGATCTCTGATTGAGTCCATACCGAGATGAATGAAATCTGTGGTTGAAACTTGTGGATTCTGGTCATAATATTATTAAGATGCAACATCTTACAAAAGGCCCTTTCAAGGGCAAACACACTAATTAAAATTTTCTGTAAGTACTGGTATACAATACGAAACAAGAATGAAGAACAGAACAAGGAAAAATTACTTTCCTCACACTTCTAGCCTCGCCGAAGCAGCAAACATAGCTTAATGCAGCGATAATGTGAATGATAATAGTAAGGTCACGTCACTTACTGGACTGCTTGCATTCCCTATTTCGAATGTCAAAGTCTACACATTTCGGTATCCATTCGCAGTTCCTCTTTGTATGACTTCCACACGACATTTTGAACATGACCTTTCCACTCTTGATTCATCTGAGTCTGAACTGTCTTGTGTCAATAGGCCTCTCCACATGAAGACTTGGTGAATACAGGAAGCCGTCAGGATTCTGGATAACCTACTGTTAAGTTTCTCATAGAGGTTACTGTGTTGTTGCAGCCATCATCGGGGTGTGTTGGATATCTGGGACCTTGGTGGGGCTGCTCCCTCTTTTTGGCTGGCACAGATCACAGCCAGCGGAAGGAATGAAATGCCTGTTCACCGAAGTGATGGACTATGACTACCTCTTGTTCTTGTACTTTGCCACAATCGTCGTACCAGCACTTTTGCTGGCAGCTTTCTACGCTCATATTTATCGAGTTGTGCTCAACCAGGTACAGTATATTTATTGAACTCTTTCTTTCTCCTTTATTTATTATTATTCATGTACATAATCACTGTAATGAGCCGGGATAGCTCAGTCAGTATAGTGACTAGCTACGGGCTGGACGACCGGGATTCGATCCCCGACGGGGGCAGAGGATTTTTCCTCTAGCCTCTGGGGCCCACCCAGCCTTCTCTACAGTGGGTACCGGGGTCCTTTCCCGGGGGTATAGCCGGCCGGGGCGTGATGCTGACCACTCACCCCCATCTAGTGCCGAGAGAGGAGCTATACCTCCACTCACCCCAAGCGCCTACATGGCGTATAGTGGGACAAACTTTACTTTACTTTTTACATAATCACTGTAGCATTCCTGTTTATGAATATGGCCATCACTAGAGGTGTAACAGAAGACCTTGCCACCTCCTCCACTTCAAATAATA